ATATATAGGGGCAGGTTCAAATGAAAACCATGTCATTCTAAAAAACCGTGTAAACCAAAATCGACCAATAGGAAAATTCCATTCTTTTTTAATTAAATTTAATCAATAAGGTCATTTTGGTCATTTTTATTATTTTTTTCATAAATAAGGAAGTTATTAAGGAATATTAAATAAAGAAATTTAATAATGGAAATTATATAAATGGAATTATTTAAAGATTTTAATATTTATAATATTAAAAATTGATTTGTTTTTTTTTTTAATTCAATGAAGCTGGAAACATTGATGAAGATTTTATCTTGTTATGTAATGAATGAATGATTTGAGGTTCATTGTATCAAAAATTACCGGTTATGAACCTGTTTCATACGAAAAGGTTTTAAAATAAAAAGGTTTCATATTACCATAGCATAATATATTAATGTTCATATGAAAAAGTTTCATTACGAATAAACGGTTGCATATTATATTAAATGTATAATGAAAAGGTTTCATTATAATGAAACAGGTGCATAATATATTTTATTCTTTATGCAATTAATGTTCATAACAGAATGTTTCATTATAAAATGTTTTATTTGCTTCTTTTATTTATATTGTATATGTTCATGTACTTCCAGGTCATGATGATGAAACATATTCATGTTCWAGTTTTAATGTATATTCATGTTTGGGTTAGTGAAAATGAAACGAGTTCATGATGTAATTGACCGGTTAATCATTAACCGCTTTAAGACTTGAAAAATGATGGTGGAGGTGAATGGTTTAATAGATGAAATGGGTGCATAATATATTTTATTCTCTATGCAATTAATGTTCATATGAGACGGTTTCATTAATATATGGTTTATTGGCTTTTTTTTATTCATGATGAAACATGTTCATGCACTCGTTTCATGATGATGAAACATATTCATTTTCAAGTTTCACGGTGATCCATGTTGCATTGTGTGTGATGATGATCCGTTTATTCGGATACTTGACAATGAAACGACTTCATTTACAATTGGTTAATGACTGTTGAACTCGTTTCATGGCCAACCACGTTGTAGAATTACGTAGGGGGTCCGTTCAGTGGATGTAACGTGTTAATGATAATGAAACAGGTTCATAATGTAATTGAACAGTTAGTCATGAWCCGCTTTAAGACATGAACAATGATGYTGTAGGTGAATGGTTAAGTTGATGAAATKGTAAATGAAACAGGTGCATAGACAAAATCGATTCATCATTGCAAAAAATGGATGAGATTCAATATCAAATGAGGATAATGAAACTAGATATTGCATAATAATATAATTTAATAAGCGCATTAAACAATGATGATGAAACATATTCATGTTCAGGTTTCATAGTGATCCATGTTGCATTGTGTGTGATGAGGATCCGTTTATTCCGAGACTTGACTATGAAACGAGTTCATTTGCAATTGGTTAATGATTGTTGATCTCGTTTCATGGCCAACCACGTTGTAGGATTACGTAGGGGGTCCGTTCAATGGATGTAACGTGTTAATGTCCCTGAAACGGGTTCATAACGTAATTGAACAGTTAGTCATGAACCGCTTTAAGACATGAACAATGATGCTGGAGGTGAATGATTAAGTAGATGAAATGCTAAATGAAACCGGTGCATAGACAAAATTGATTCATCATTGCAAAATATGAATGAGTTTCAATATCAAATGAGGATAATGAAACTCGATATTGCAAAATCATAATATTTAATATGCGTATTAAACAATGAAAAATGTTCATTAACTAAAATGTAACGAATCCGTCTACAAGTAAATTAAGAAAAACGAAATATGATCATTTATTTTAATTTTTTATTAAATTATTCATTATACATTAGTGAATATGTTGTGTTTTGATTTTGATATAACTTATTGATGGATATTATTTCAAAAAATGTTAACATTAAAATAGTATATTACTTCACAAAGTGAATCAATTTCATTAATAATATAATTTATCTGATATGGCTGCCTTGAATAAAAAATACTATGAATTAAATTTGTTTACCGATTCTACCCTTATTGATGAAATAAAATAAATATTAATTATTTTTTAATTTTTAATTTCTTAAAATAAAGTAATGTAATCTTAGCCATTGATCAAAAAAATGAATGGATGAGATTGGTTTACACGGTTTACACAAATGGGTCAAGTTTTTATTTGAACGCTCCTCTCTCTCTCTCTCTATATATATATATATATATATATATATAGACTTGGGATCATGTGAGACCAAAAGTTTTTCATGAAACCCGTAAGACCAATTCTTAACCTTTGAATTAGATCTACAATCTGAACATTCATAATCACAAAATTGCCACGAGACTTCTCAATAATCACAAAACTGCCAACGTGCAATTTTAGACCATTAGATCATTAGTTTATAAAGTTGATCAATGAACATAAATTGGTCTTACGGGTCTCACGAAAAACCCTTGGTCTCACGTGAACCCAACCCTATATGTGTGTGTATGTATGTATGTTTTTGTACAAATGTTGAAAATAAATATCGAAATTGAATTAAAAATTTAAAATATGTGGTATTTAATTTTTAAAGAAGAACCTTTTAGAACCTTAAATATAAAATTTAATTCTAATAAGTTTAAAAATACTAAATATAACTTATAGTAGAAGAGAAAAATAATAAAATTGAATCACACAGGTGGTGCCTGATTGATTTGAACTTAAGCTCCAAATTTTAAAAGTGCTTAGAGGTCCAAAGTTCAAATACCTGGAGGAATAAAAATCCCCTTGTGGCTGCGGTGACTCCGAACTACCCGCATAAGAGGTGATCATTCTAGGATTAGTCGGCTCGGATAGTGGGTTGAATATCTAGATTAAAAAAAAAAAACTGAATTTCTAATTTATATCTTTTAGTAGGCATAAACAAATAAAAGTTTATTATAATCATATAATAATAAAATCAAAATTTTTTGGTTGGTTTAGAAACATTGAAAGGATGAAAGAGTATTTTACTTTTGAATATGTATCTTTTCTCGATTTACATTTCAAATTAAAATATTTAAATAAAAAATGTGAATAAATTCTTGACCAATTAATAAATTAAATTTTATGCTCTTTTTAAAATAAAATTAATATTTTCTTATGTATATTTTAATTGGAAAATAATGATTTATTTTATATTTTAATTGAAAAAAATGATTCATGGTCTATAAATTTATTACCTTTTTTTTTTCTTTTGCCTACAAGAAAATTTTATAAAAAATAATAATTATTTAATTTAAATACCATAATAAATTCAATTTATATAAATCTAATAGAGAATGAAACACAAGTTATTTAATAAGCAAGGAGAACCAATTCTTTGACTTTTTGCATACTATTTCTTATTTATTATTTTTTTAAAGTTCATCGGCATATTTAATTTTAAAATAAATAAAAAGATTTTTTTAACAATTAAAATGATTAAGATATCTTATTATTTTACAATATTAAAAAGTAAAAAATTATTATTCTAAACAAAAAAAAAATAATATTTAAAAAACCATAAGGTTGATACTTAATTGGTTTGAGCTTGGACTCTAAACCCCAAATATACTTGAAGGTCTCAGGTTTAAATACAAGGAGAAATAAAAAATTCTTTTATGGCCACAAAGATTCAAATATGATAACTTCGGACTATCCGCAAAACATGTGGTCATCCTGAGATTAGTCTGCTTACATAACTTGTTGGATATTCATGTTAATATTTTTTTAATAAGTTGTAATATCAGTACTAAAAATATACATTTTGTGATTGCCACTCTCCACTAATGCAATTGCTTAAGTATCTTGTTATATTTTGATGAGTCTAGCTAAATTGCATAGTTGATGTAGCTTATACAAAAAATACCAAAGAATCTGAAGAATGAAAATGAGAATGAATTTTCATTCTCCTAATTTAATAATGAATAAAATTTTAGGCTTACGGAGTAATGAACTTATTATATTATAGAAACCCAAACAGTTTCGTTTATTTTCATGCTCATTGATTACTGCTTAATACAGCTGATCAAACATTTGATAAATTAAAAATAAAAGATAATTCTAAAATACTATCAATTACCAACCCACCAAAACCAACAAACACATATCAGAAAATTTCAATCTCTTTCCGTGACCACATTTCCATTGGAGTCATTAATTGCCATCAAGAACCATCCAACTGAAGCCGCCCCTTTTCAAGAAATATGCAACAAAACCACATTTCCCCCCCAATTTTGTCTTTTTTCCCCCTCATAATCCATCCTTTTTCTTATTTACCATCAAGAACAAGAAGAACAGGTCCAACATCCTCTGCCTTTTAATGCTTCTGAGAAACCAAAGAAACTGACTCTCTCTCACACACACATTGCATCCCTAGTTCTGTCTCTACTGTGTGTTTGTGTGTGTGTGTGTATATATACATATATATATATGTATGTATACATAGTGTGGCAATCAAGAAGGTTATAGGTCTGATTTTTTGGTGATAAAAAAGATGGATATGGTGTATTACCCACATGGGAGATGCTCTTATGAGGAATCTTTGAAGGTTCTTGAGGCTGATATACAACATGCCAATGCTTTGTAAGTTGTTTTCATCACAGATTTTTTGATTCTTGATGTGGGTTTTGAATCTTTTTTTGTGGGTTGTGTTTGTATTTGTGATTACAAGTCATCTTGTTAGCTATCAAGATGGTAAGTAAAGTAGGTCTTTCAATGTGATTCTTGATGTTTAAATGTTGTCAAAGGTTGAATCTTTTTGGGGATTTTGGACATAAATAAAGTAACCCAACAAAACCCTTTTAGGGATTTGCTCAAATGTGAAGTTTTCCTTCTGTTCTCCTTCTTTTTGGCATTGAAATTTGTAGTATTAGCTTAACTGGCAATAAGGTCCGGGACTTTGGGTTTCTCCTCGAAGTAGGTCACTTGCTCGAGTCCCGCAAAGACCACTGGATTTTTCGAGAAATTGACCAAAATAGCCAATCTATCCGACTAACTTCACTTTGTTTTGCCAAATTTTCAATTAAATTCCCATTTAGCCCTTATGCCACGTTTGCATAAACTCAAATTTTAAATTAGAAAAAAAAAGAAAAAGACTTTTTACTCGAGTATTCAAATGTTTGCGTAAAGCATCTGAATAAAGAACGATTATTTTAGGAAGAGTATCTGAAAAGTGGCTAAAAAATGAATTTGGTTGATGTGATTCGCTATTTCAGTCAATTTCCCATTTTTATGACTGTCCTCAAAGTTGTCCTCAAAGTTGTGCTCAAGTTGGCCTGAACACCCACGGTTAACGATCTTCTTTTTGGAAATTATGAAAAATGGCATCTTCTTTTGTGATGGTTTTCATGTGAATTCATTCATTTTGGATTTGCAGGGCAGCTGCAATTCCTAGAGCTAAAGATGGTGCAAGATTTCAAATGAAACTAGTTTACAATGAATTGGCACCTCTTGTTATGTTCTTGCTGCAATGGATTGATTCCTCTTGCACTTGCCTCTTGCCTAGATACTTGAATCCCGTTCATGTTCGTGTTTATAAGGTTGGTTCTTGATAACTTTCGGCATCCAAGTTCGTAGGATTTTTTGTACCCGAAAGAAAGTCTAAATCGGCTCCATTTGTACCCGGAAATTGTTCGTACAATGCAGTTGGTTTTTTGGTATCTTCACGAGTTTGAGTTGCATTCGAGTCTTCGTATGTTTCAGAAGTTTGATGAATGTTTATATGGTAGTAAATCATCGTATGGAAAATCTTTCCTTTCAGGTGTTTGCGGATGGAAGACCGAAAATTTCTAGACATGGAAGGAAGGCAACGATAAACGACTTTTATGGTTTGTCACAATGTCTATGATATTTGATGAAAAACTAGCTGTTGGATGAAAAAGCTAGCTGTTCCAGATGCTGTGGTTTCAAATGGTTGTTGGCTGAATAAGCTAACTGTTAGCTAATAAGATAGCTGTTCCTAATGGCTGATGGCCCGGAAAGCTAGCTGTTCCAAATGCTAGATTTTAGGCCCAACAGTTAGCTAGCTGTTGGGCCTAAAATCTAGCTAGCTTTTTCAGCCCAACAGCTAGATTTTAGGCCCAACAGCTAGCTAGTTGTTGGCCCATAGCTAGCTGTTGGGCCTAAAATCTAGTTGTTGGGCTGAAAAAGCTGGCTGTTCCAAATGCTGTAGTTTCAAATAGCTATTGGCCTGAAAAGCCAGCTGTTGGGCCAAAAAAGCTAGCTGTTCCAAATGTCGTGGTTTCAAATAGCCATCGGCAGAAAAACTAGCTGTTGGCTGAAAAAGTTAGCAGTAAGCTAATAAGCTAGTTGTTCCAAATGTTGTGCTTCAGATAGCCATTGGCCGGAAAAGCTAAGCTGTTGGTTGATAAGTTAGCTGTTCCAAAAGCTACGGTTTCAAATATAGTTACTGATATAAGCGAAAAGGTTTGAAGATATTTTATCTTTTTCTGTTCGATATATGCAGCTGTCATACTGCCATCTCTAAGAAGGCTACACTGCGATTTGGTGGAGCTGGATTATCCGTCCGGTGGTGGTTCTAAAGGAGCGAACTCGAGGACGGAGATATCTGACCAAAAGAAACCTGAAACCGAAATTTGTTTCACAAATCTTGACGTGGAAAGAGAAAACGAATGCGGGATTTGCTTGGAACCTTGTACGAAGATCGTCTTGCCGAACTGTTGCCATGCGATGTGCATCAACTGCTATCGAGACTGGTATGCCACCGATATTTGAAAAAATATTATGTTGTTGTGAAGTCCAAATTGGGGATAACATGCACGATTGCTACCAATAACTTCCATCATGGTTTTAAGTTGATTTGGAGGATATTTGCCACAATGCTGCATTGGACTTTTTTTTGTATCCGTTTAGTGTTTTCTAAACCTTTTTTCGTTGTTTGTTCTTTTAGGAACACAAGATCTGCATCTTGTCCATTTTGTCGAGGTAACTTAAAGCGAGTAAAATCACGGGATTTGTGGGTTTTAACGTGCGACGATGAAGTGATGGATGCCGATCTCGTTGCTGATGAGGATTTGGTGCGGTTCTACCTCTACGTTAATAATCTACCGAAAGATCACCCAGATGCCGTTTTCTTTATGTACTATGAATATCTAATGTAACGTAAAGGTTAATGTACAAGAGACAAGAAACATACCGATCGATTAAAATGTATATAGAGTTATAGGGAAATTTCGGTTTATTGTCACGTGAAAATAACACATGATCGTGTAGCATCGGGCTCGTTTCCATACGTTCGGATTAATATTGTGGGGGTCATGAACCTCAGACATATAGATTAGTTGGTAAAGGGGCGGAAATACATTGCCTAAATATAAGACAAATCTTGGGTTCGACCTAGACCCTCCTTTAGCCACAGCCGTTGAGTGAGCCAAAAATGCCCCCTTAGATTAGTATCCTTGCAAGCATGTTTTGTGTGGCGCCGGTTGGAGTTACTGGTAATCAATTTTTTGCCTGGTGTGTGGTCATGAAAACAACAAAAAGTTTGATAGAGACTCCTAAATAACGATTTTGAAAGTTACTTCTCCAAAATATGAATCAAATGAAAGTTGGTTCCATTTTAGTGCAATTTTCCAATTAGTTTTATCAAATATAAAATATTTAAAAAAAATTACGATGAATGATGGAACAAAGAATACCATCAAAATAAGAAAACCAAATTAAAAGTATATGCGTTTTTGGATGGTAGGTCATGTCGCGTCCAAGGTCGCGCATGGTGTGTGTGTATCTTTTGAGTGGTCAGAAGTTGTCCAGAATCTTCATTTTATGGATACCAAATTGAGTAATGAGTGATGGGTTATATCGGAATGGGTTGTTGGTGTAGAACCAAATTCAGCAATTTACCTTGTTCGCCTTATCTGCAATTAGGTAAACTTCATCTCTTTGATTTCAGTTCAATCAGTTCATGTTGGAAAGCGCATCAATTCAATGATTTAATTGATATTTCGTTTAATTTCCGTGACAAGTCGTTCATTCATGCGCAATTTTAAGTGGATTTTAGTTTTTCTCTGTGAAATTTGATGAGAAATTGAAGATTCACACACGTTTTTCGTTGTTGCCCTCTCCGTCTGTGTGGTGTCCCCAATTGTTGACCATGAATATTGGGGAGGCCTAATTTTGTTCATAAAACTCAAGTTTAAGGTTACAATCTACAGTGAAATTGCATATTATATTTGTTCATAAAACTGAAATTTGAGGTTACAATCTTGAGTGAAATTGCAGTTTTGCTCCTAAAACTGAAGTTTTAAGGTTACCAGTCAGAATGAAATTGCAGTTTAAGGTTATAATCTAGACTGAAATTGCATATTTGTTCACAAAACTGAAGGTTGAGGTTACAATCTTGAATGAAATTGCAGTTTTGCTCATAAAACTGAAGTTTAAGGTTACAATCTAGAGTGAAATTGCAGTTTAAGGTTTTAATCTAGAATGGAATTGCATATTCGTTCATCAAAACTGAAGTTTGAGGTTGCAATCGTGAGTGAAATTGCAGTTTTGCTCATAAAAACTGAAGTTTAAGGTTACACTCTAGAGTGAATTTTCCGAACACAAGACAGGTCCCGGGTTCGATATCAATAGAAAAAACTTTCATACCTTTTGAAAACAAGTGAACTACTTAAGCATAATATGTAAACTAATGGACAAATTGTCTCAGTTTTCCTTTCTCTTCGAACAATTGCAGTCCTAATGGTTAATGGTGATTGTTGCAATCTTAAGAATATATGTTGCTCTCTTGTGACCTCTTAGTCTTTTTGTGCTAAAATATCAAAGACCTGTCTCTTATTTTATTTTTATAATGTGATTTGATTGTAAATTCAACCGATGTTCTTATTGATTTTTTCCTGGTGGTTCTTTTGGGTGAATGGTTTTCCTAGATGTTATATTCCATTGTATTAGAACCAGTCACATGGTTAGCAAATTATTACTTGCTTTCTAGCTATATTTTTGATTGTGTAGCGTTGTACCATCAATGCGCTTGTCAACTACTAGTCATAACCTTTTTAAGTCAACTATTTGAGTCTAAAAGGTAAAAGATATTACGTTTTTTAGGGGTACTCCACAATCCATAGACTTTCATTTCTAATTAAATGAGATTGGTCAATTTAGGGGATTGATTGTCTAACGTTTGCATGTAACATCCCAGGCTAACTGTACCAGATATTGTCCGCTTTGTTCACACTTGGACTCACGGTTTTTAAAACGCTTCTGATAGAGGAGGTGTCCAATTCCTTATAAGGCAACCTTAGTTTCCCTCCCCAACCGATGTGGGATCTTACACTACATTACACAACCCTAGAGGAACAAAATAGAGTTTCTACTGCAAATTATATGTTTCTACTGTCTATAATAGGTCAATATCCATATTCTAATTGGTCCATATGCATTTGCTAACATATCCACCATATATACATATCCTTATACATAAATATGTTGTTAGGGTCAGGTTCACGGGAAAACGGCAAAAAAATGAAACATTGAGGAACACCTTGGTAACCGTTCATCTGGTCGGTATGCTCATGTGCATACAAGTAATTTGTAATACATGCATAAAAACCAAAAAAAAAATTGAAGTACTTGTATGCACATGTACATATCGTCCGGATAAAAGGGCGTTCCTCATTTTTTCATTTTTTAGGGGTTTTCCTCCGAACCTCTCTCTATGTAGTTATTACAACCATCTTCCGCGTTGAACCAATATTGAATGACTTGTTTGATTGAGATTTTGGGCTTTTTTCTTTTAGTTTGACTTTGCGAAATAGGAAAGTCAAATTAATGTTCAATTTTCACAACTACTTCAAACACCCTTTTATTAGTTGAGCAAAAACAGTGCAAATCTTTTTAAACATTTTAAGCTTCTCATGTTTTATTAGGTAGGAAGCATGAACTACCATACTTACAAAGTGTTCTACCCACCAAATTCTTTGAGGTATGTTTTGGTGAAGTTTAATTCTATAGGTTTCATAATTGCTACTCATTATGTTCCATTAAAACTGCAATATTTGACTGTAAAGATACTTTATGCACTACTTAACCATCTATCAAATGTCTCTTGTGTGCTCTTATGATGACAAAAGAAATAAATCTTGGGGATGATGATGAATAGCAGCGATAAATTGTAGAGTAAATTACGATTTTCGTCCCTGTGGCTTGTTAGTAGAGTAAATTACGATTTTCGTCCCTGTGGTTTGCTAGTAGAGTAAATTTCAATTTTCATCCCTGTGGTTTAGAAATCCCGATTTTCGTTTCTATAGTTTGCAATTTATTGCTATTTTCGTCCCTGGACGAATTTCTATCTTTAAGTGCAAGGAACAACACAGTAAAGAATTGTAAACCACAGGGATTGAAACAACAATAAATTGTAAATCATAAGGACGAAAATAGCAATGAATTACAAACCACAAGGACAAAAATCACAATTTCTAAACAGCAAGGATGAAAATAGCATTTTTTAACAAATCACAGGGATGATGTAATTTACTGTAAATTGTACTCCCTCCGTCCCAAAATAAGTGTCCACAATTGAAATGACAAACAGTTTCAGGCATGCATAATTATTACACTTTTTTGGTAACCAAATGACATCTTTACCCTTCTTTCATTTCTCTTTCTTCACAACTCTTAAATATTTGTGCACTAATTAAGCGTAAATTTGAGAATTTCGTTATTTGCTTTTGAAAATGGACAAACATAAATAGAAACGTGGACACTTATTTTGGAACAAACATAAATAGAAATGTGGACACTTATTTTGGGATGAAGGGAGTAATAAAGATAATGGGAAATAGGTAAATTTGCCTTGAAAACTTGTTAAAAAGGGGAAATGTTGCAACTTTCTTGGGACAAAGGGAGCACTTGTTTCATTTTGAAGTCACTATTGTTCTTATTCCTCCCCTTCATTTCACAGGGATTTCAAGCGAATACAAGGATTTATGCAAGTAAAAGCTCGCCTAAAAAGTTGAGGAAAGCAAAAGAAGTACAGAAACTTGTGAGGCCACAACTAATTGAAGGTCCACCAGATGAACCCGATGGACTTGCTGAGAAATCTTCTCCAACGGGTTCTATTAATAACTTGGAGTCACAGGCTTCAATTGCTATTGCTTCAAGAAGTTCTGTTCTGCAGGCATGCACTGTGACTTCTGGTTTCATAGCTTTCATGGGCGTAATAATTCGACAGGTTCAATCTTGATTTCCGCTCTCTTTTTAGCAAGATGAAGCGTATAGAACACTTGATCTGCTTTGAATTGCCGTTTAATTGCATAAAGGTGATACCTTTTTCATATAAGCGAAAACATTAGATTCAATTTGAATTGGTCACTTGCATTTTCATTTCATGAATCCCATTAATTGGTGAAATTGTGGTTTTTGTTTACTTCATTTTATGGGACTCGCAGAATAAAGAGTGGAGAATGGTCGAAAGTAATAAAATTGAACGGTATCCAAATTCTTCTTAGACTGTGAAGACTGGAAAACCCAAAGCAGACTGAGGGCCTGTTTGTTAATAGCTTGAGCTTAATGAGACTCACAGCTATTAGGTCAGCTATACATGACTGTTTGGTAAAGGCTTGATGATATAGAAAGTGGCTTATTCGGTAAGCTTCTAGAGGGGATGCAGAAAGCCAAGTTTTTCCAAACCTGCCCCTCCCAATTAAAAAACATGCTCCTTCTGTCTGTGAAAAAACCCTCCCAATCCATATAGACACATTAATCCACACAGTCAGCTTTATCCATACAGGATTTAATGGAAAACCAACCAAACAGCCCCTGAGGGCCTGTTTGTTAACAGCTTAATGAGCTTAATGGGACTTGTAGCTATTAGGTCAGCTATACATGACTGTTTGGTAAAGGCTTAATGATATAGAAAGTGGCTTATTCGGTTAGCTTCTAGAGAGGATGCAGACAACCAAGTTTTTCCAAACCTGCCCCTCCCAACTAAAAAACACACTCCTTTCATCTGTGAAAAAACCCTCCCAATCCATATAGGCACATCAATCCACACAGTCAGCTTTATCCATACAGGACTTAATGGAAAACCAGCCAAACAGCCCCTGAACCAATAACCTCCAAATCAACTTATAAACATGGTGGAAGTTCCCTTTGACCCATAACTTAAAGCTTTTGGAGCTCACAAATATAGTTTTCTATCCATGTGGGACAGGTGTTATAGAAACCGTATCAACATCGTGTATTCTTGTTGTAACCTTCAGGGTTCTCGTTTGGCATCAGCACAAGGATGGCCTATAGTTGATTGCTCTTCTGAAATATCATGTAAAGTCTCGAAACTAATTGCACGTTTAAACAGCATAAACATATTACTTACAAGCATTTTTGTGTACAGTTAATTTCGAGATGTGGCATTTGCAAGTAGTTGCGGGTTTAGTCATACTCATATCATCTTCTCGGTTCTTACTACTGAAAACATGGTCTGATTTTGCCGAGTCTAGTGAGGCATCCAATCAACAGGTCCATTTTTCTGTTTTTCTTGAATCTTTAAACCATAAACCTCTAACTTTGATATCGATCTTCTATCATAACAATGATCGTCTTTCTATTTGTTAATTTAGTCATATAATTATGCAGGTCTTAACATCATTAGAGCCATTGGATTATGCGTTAGTGGCCTTTCTTCCCGGCATTAGTGAGGTTAGAGTAAAGAAACTTGGATGCTATTCGTTTACACCATTTACCTCCTTTCACCATATAGTGGGGCCCATCCCAATTTTTTGCCCTCTATGCAAGGGTCGTTTGGTTGTTTTACCACCTGTTAGTTAGCAACTTAATGAGCTTAATGGGACTCACAGCTTATTCTGTCAGCTATATGACTGTTTGGTAGTGGCATAATGATATAGCAAGTGGCTATTCATTACACTTCTAAGGGGGAGCTTTATGCAGAAAGCCAAGTTTTTTCCAAACATGTCCCTCCCGGTTAAAAAACACTCTTCTTCCATCTATGAAAAAACCCTCCCAAACAAAAACCTTCCCGATCTATACAGACATATCAATCCACATAGACAGGATTATCCATACAGGACTAATGGAAAACCAACCAAACATCCCCAAGTCCTGTATGGATTAAGCTGTGTGAATTGATATTAGTTGTATATATTAATTAAGCCCTGCATGGATTAAGCTCTCTGTACGGATTAATTTGTCTTCATTTCTCCTATCACCATGTGAGAAGAAAATGGTAAATTTTGAAACTAAAATTTTTATAGGGTGTGTCAATTCATAGGAACTCCTATTTCGTGGTGCATTGCTTCCACTTTTCGGAATCAACTTGCAGAATGCTATGGCAGTCGCTGCCTTATTTGGGATTTTGCATTTGGGTAGTGGTCGAAAGTTTTCCTTTGCAATCTGGTAGGCAGTCTCCTTTTGAGTTGATTTTTATGCGAAAACTGTTGATACATTTAAGTTTGTAATTCGATTTCAAGACTCCACATATTTTGGTTGTTTTTGTAGGGCCACATTTGTTGGGCTCGCTTATGGTTATGCGACGATAATATCCTCTAGCCTTATCGTGCCCATGGCTTCTCATGCAATTAACAATTTGATAGGAGGTGTTATATGGCGCGTTACACACGAAAGCCATCATCAAAAGAGAGAGGTATATACATCATTACTTTTCTTTTTGTAGGCAATACATATGAAGGTCATTCGGTTAAATCAGGTTTGAATATGTCACTGCTTAACTGAAGAATGTCACTTCCATACACAAGAATGCTTTAGGGGTTGTTTGGTTTGATTTCCGTGAAGTCATCTATTGATAATTTTGTTTGTGTGGATTAATTTGTCTACATAGATTTGGAAGATTTTTGTTTGGAAGGGTTTTTCATAGATAGAAGGAGCATGGTTTTTAATTGAGAGCAGATTTGGAAAAAAAAAAACTTGGCTTTCCGCATAAAACTCTTCTTGAAAGTTTATTGAATAAGTCGCTTTCTGTATCATTAAGCCACTAACAAACAATTTTGAATAGCTGACTGAATAAGTTGTGAGTCCATTAAGCTCATTAAACTGCTAACAAACAGACCCATAGAAACCTGTCACAAGGTCATGGATTTAAATAGACAACAATTGTCAGGAGGTCATTTAGCTAAATAACCCAAAAGGGGGTCGAGGAGGATCTTTTCATAAAACGCATTTCAGGACATTGAAGCTATTCCTACTTGCAGGTTTAGTATTCGGGTTCTATAAATGGATCTTTCTGAGATGAAGAAACGCAGAGATTCTTGCATCAAGTTTCGGTGTTTCTGAAAAACATAAAAAGGTAAGAGCTTTTAATTCTTTTTTGTGGGGGCGATTGATGATTTGCTTGAATTCGGTTGAAATCGAGTGGCTAGCATTTTAAAGTTCACACCATTGTATCTAGACACCTTTAAGCTTTAAACAACAATAGCAAGTGTAGCATTAGAGCAACTCCAACCTTTAACACCAAAAAATATCTTGCAAATTTGTGGGACCATGGACACCAAAAGTCGCTTCAAATCCAAGCGTACAACATTTATGTCGTTTGAACAGGAGCCCAACATATTTTCCGTTTCTCTCCCATTTCTGGCAAAAAGCAGTTGTCTTTGCTGGCCGGTTGGAGTTAAAAGAACAGAAAAAAAAACTATTTTAGCGTACGATTGGAGTTGCTCTTAGGATGGACATTGAATTTATACCTTATGCATGTCTGAGTTGTACCACTATTTATGCACAAAGTCTTTCAATTTATGCATATATTTTCGTGGGATATACTGGATTCGTTTGATTTGATTGTTGTTCTTCATCACAAATTGGTTATGATCAAAATCTTTGTAAAAATCAGCATGATAAGGGGCGGACCTACATAGGAGCATACGGTGGCACGGGCCACCGCTTCATGGTTCCGTCGCAATGAAAAAGAATTATGTTCCTGAAGGGTGCCTTTGTATAATACATACAATATGTATTAAAACGATAGTTGATTTTTATTTATTATGAACCCAATTCATAAAACATTTGAAATATTAAAATCAGTTTTATAATATATATTTGGAAATTTGTCTATTTATTAAAAACTTGAATAAAAAAACAAAAAGACGACAATGGTATCAAAAATCATGCACGTATAAAAATGTGAAAGCAACCAAATGGTGTTTGTAGATGAAAATTTTATCTGTAAGGGCAGGTATCTGCGGGTGTCCGACCCTAATAGGGTGGGGATTTCCTGCTTTGACGGGTAACGGTGCGTGATGAGGATTTATTTTCATACTAGAAGGTGGGACAGGGACCGTCCCTAAACCGACCCGATTAATTTTTATTTTATTTTATATATGTATATAACGTTTGTGTGTGTGTGTATATATATATATATATGTATGTATGTATATGTATATGTATATATGTAAAATAGAGTTGGGTTCACGTGAGACAAGACTGTTTTCGTAAAACACGCGAGACACAATTTTTACACTTGAAACTTCACAACAAAATGTTGTGAAGGTAAAAAAAAAGCCGAATCCTCACAACAAAAACATTGTGAAGGTAACCTTCATAGTGTTTTGCTGTAAAGTTTCAAGTATAAAAATCGTATCTCACGAAAACAACCTTGTCTTACATGACCCAAGTCCATATATATATATATATATATATATATATATTTATTATTAAATGATAAATATATTTGACTTTCAATATTGGCACTTAATGTAGTGACATTATAATTTTAAAGTTTTCCAAACCCGTCTGAGATTAGTTAAGGCGGGGTCGACAGATACATTATCCACCCCATTTTCAACCATTGCTCGAACCTTTCAAAAAATCTAGAGTTTAAATCTCAGCAAAAACGTTACGGTTATTTAAATGATCAAAACTTCTATGCAATAAGAAAGAGAGAGAATTTGGTGGCTAAAAGATTTGTAGTTTGTAGGATCACATAATTTCTATGCAAGTAATAAATGTAGCAAATTTGGTATAAGTTGGACTTTAATTTACCCCTATCACGGTATACTCAACAAAAAAAAGTAATCATAAAAACGATCTGAAATGAAAAATATAATCAGTAATAATGGTCGATGTAAATTTGGTCGATCTGGGATTTTTATCTGATTGTGAGTAACTGTATAAGCTTATACATATCTCAACTAGATCCCGTAAGGGTCCTGAGAATATGCAAAAAAAAAAACCCTCAGTGGTTTTGGAAGAACTTAAAGCGTTGACTTTTGAAGAAGAACCCTAAAAACCCGAACTTTATTGTCGGTAAACCAACCCCAAAGATATTGAGTTTGGTTCTCATTAGTCACCAGACGCTTTCAAGAATACTTTAAGTTTGTTGGACTATTAAAAGCATATTCAACAGTCTTATCATTTTAAAAATTTGGAAGATCTGGTAAAATTTTGTTTCAACAACTATATTAAATTCTCCTGTAAAATAGAGAAAGAAAAAAGAGAATGAAGAAATATTCAAATTTGAAAGAATACGAAATATATAACATAGCTATTGGAGATACTCTAGCTTACAAGCTCCATAAGACAATTGAGGTACATACAAGCCATTACTAAGGGGCCGTTTATCAAACGCTTATCTAGGTAAGTGCTTACCGGTAAAATTCAACATTATCACTTATTTACCAGGTATGGTTTTAATCCACCAAAATGATTTAGATGCAACAATTTACCCGGTAAACGCTAACTATGGTAAACGTAAGATTCTTGGTACTTATCATATTTATCGGATAAGATAATATTACTTTAACGGGTAAGACTCTCGGTACTTGCCTTTACTCTTACCACGTA